GGACCTATGAGTACCCTATAGGACTGCCCTTTAGGATCCATGGGTGCCCTCATATAATAGCTCTTGAGGATCTATGAGTACTCTATAGGACTGCCCTTTAGGATCCATGGGTGCTATCATATAATAGCTCTTGAGGATCTATGGGTACCTCCATAGGATAGCCCTTGAGGGCCTATGGGTACCTTCATAGGATAGCCCTTGAGGATCTGTGGCTACCCCTATATAATAGTCCTTGAGGATCTATGGGTATCTTAATATAGTAGCCCTTGGGCCTTCCGCTTATAGCCTTATTTGACCTTTGACCCGGCACAGACAGATAGATACACAGACACTGAACATTATATATATAGATGACATATATGTGAACAATAGAGAAACTATACTATAATATTCGTGTTTTTATTCTTGTAAATTTGTGCATGCGAAAACATAGAAATAATTTTAGAAAAATGTTCCATGTTTATACATGAGAATACTCGTATCTAAATACAAGAAAAAGCACTTGTAATAAACATCTATGAATACGCAAGAATCGAATTTATGTCGTTTGAAACAGAAGACAACTTTTTTTTTATCATTCGGTCATCAACATGTACTAGTATTAGGACCTGACCTCTATTATTATTTTGTTGTTGTTACTGTTTGTCCACTCATTATATAACACGTCCTCCTTTTTCTTTTTTTTTGTTGTTGTTTTCTCTCTCTCTTCATTATTAGAATAAAACATTCGGTCAGATATTGCACGTGAAACGAACTCACTGACCTTTATATCTTCTCTTTTATTTTGGTGCAGTATCTTACAACTAGAGTTGCATTCAAAACTATTAGATATAATGATCGCATATCTCTATGGATTTATTTTCATCTTATATTTATATTTTACAATTGGAAATATATCAAATAGGTTCTATGATCATGCATGAGATATGACTGTTTACAAAAATATTTTGGAAGCAAACGTATCATTTTTCAAAATATCCTACAAACATATACGTTTGACTGGAAAAGATATTCTCTTGATTAGTAGACTAGATTGTGGTAAATAGACATATTTGTCGAAATAAATTTTCAAAAAAAAATTACTTACTGGATGTGCTTGTTGTCTCAGTAGTACTTGTAGTCGATGAAGTTGTACTAGAGGTGGATGCTAATAAAAAAATTAACAAATAATTAGAAATAGTTTTGTTTGTAAAAGATTTTCAATGATTGAATTCAACAAAGCATTCATTAGTACTTCTACGTTTTATTTGAATAACAATAAAACTTAATCACTTACTACTTGTAGATGTTGTTTCTGTTGTTGCTGTTGTTGAAGTTGTTGCTGTGGTCGCTGTTGAAGTTGTTACTGTGGTCGTTGTTGAAGTTGTTGACGTGGTCGTTGTTGAAGTTGTTGATGTGGTTGTTGTTGAAGTTGTTGATGTGGTTGTTGTTGAAGTTGTTGATGTGGTTGTTGTTGAAGTTGTTGATGTGCTCGTTGTTGAAGTTGTTGATGTGCTCGTTGTGGAAGTACTAGTTGTTGTTGTCGCTATATTATTAAATAAAATTGTTTTATTTTATTTATTCGTTATTATTATTCATTTGAAGTTATATTTGATTAATCAACATACTTATTGTTAGTTGGAATTGTTGTGGTAGTTAAAGAATTAATTAAAATGAAAATGATTATATTTAGATCTAACCAAAAGTTCTAAGAACACTAAAGACTAATATATAAAGATCATGAGATATTTTTATTTTATTTTATCAAATATTGAGAATAGTTGCTATGATTATTTATATCAAGTTCAATCTTTTCTAACAATCTACTAAAAGTTTTTTTGATCTCTTTTTCTAAAAAAATTTTAGCTACCTTGGAAGCCACATGAGCTAATTATATTTCATTTCTTTTAAAAATTTAATGGAATATTGTTCGAATATGTCAGTTGCATTCTAGCATTACTAGTGATGTGATATCGATTTATTTTAGACAGGTTAGTCATAAGTCATCTAATGCTAACTAGTTTATTGAAGATGAATTGACAAAGACTGAGTAGATGTCTAATTCGAGTTCGAATATAAATGAAAAATTAAAAAAAAAACGACTTTCATGTTCCAACAGGCAAAAAGCAAAAAGCAAAAATTTTCTCCAACAACACACACCGCTCGAAGTAGCAAAAAAAGCAAAAGATAAATTTTATCCTAATTATAAGTTTATAATTCGAATTGAGACACTTATAGAAGTCTTATATATAAAACTTTAAATTTGAGTTCAATTGAGTTTTGAAGTTTCAAGTCCAAAGGTAATCGAGGATGGAGAACTCGAATCTGATATTACTTTTAATTAATTATTAACCAATTATTAACTAATTATTAACCAATGATTAACTAATTATTAACCAATGATTAACTAATTATTAACCAAT